TCGGCATTCGAATCGGAGGCACCGGAGTTGAGGGACGTGGAATTCAGGGACGATTTCTGGTTGGGCGGCAATCGGAGGACGAGCTTCAGCTTCTTCTCGCGGCGTTTCCCGGCCAATTCGTCCTCGTCGTCGTCCTCCTCCTCAGCGCGCCCCTTCTCCGGTGAATCGGCGTCGGGGTTAGGGTTCCGGCGAGTAGATCGACGGACAGCGGTTGGTGCGGAGCCAGCCGGGGCAGACCTGTAATTATCGTTGGCATGAGGGGCTGAATTGGTATTCCTCTTTGGCTGTTGTTGATTTTGTTGTTGTTGTTCTTTAAGGTTTCGTTTTTGGAGATCCAAAAGAGAGGGCCTTCCTTTCTTCTTCTTCTTCTTCTCCACTATCTTACCCATTTTGCTGCCTTCTCTCTCCCTCTTTTCTCTCTCTACCTCTGTCTCTCTCTCTACCTTGAGACAGACAAACAGGGTGTAATTTTTTTTTTCGGAAATAAAAATTTAATCGGGAGGTATTTTATTTTTATTTTATTGATAATTCGGTACGGGTTTTTGTGACTTTGAGGTGGGAGGAGCACGCGAAGCACGTGACCTTCACACGAGTTTCTCTTCCAAGTTGACACGTGTTAAGAGGTTGTCTAGTTTGGTTGGTGTTTGGAGACCCAACGGTTTTGGAGAACCGGACAGAGTTTTTGTCTTTAGTGAAGGTACACGTGGCAGCTTAGAGAGTTCAGAGACGTTCTTAAAATTTTTTTTTTTTGACGAATTCTTTCCTAAATTTGGCGCAAAAATATTTAAAATAAATAAAAACGTACCATACAGACTTGTCGTATTTGATACATTTGCATGTATATTTTTATCCTTTTTATGAGAGGGAAGACGTATCTTCTGATATTGTCGTATGAATTATGGCTTTTGTAATTTTTTTTTAAATTTTTTTAAAAACAATAACTTTTAAATTGTCTTTGTATAAATTTGTGAAATGGCCTACCGTTTAACAGATCAAAGGAATTACTAAAAAAAACCTTAGATATCATAGGAAACAATATTTTTTTTAAAAAGAGATATCACAGGAAATAATTACTGAGGAGACGTTTGGTAAAGAGATTCATACCATGATTTGAATCATGGTTCGTTACAGTATTTTTTCTCATAAAAAATACACGTAAATAAAAAATTATTATAATCTCATGATTTTAATCCATGAACTAAACGTTTCCTAAGAAAAGATCAAAGGAATGAGAAACCAAATAAACAAATTCTATTTCTCAAGAAAAAAAAAGTGAAAATTGTCTCCGTGAAAACTGTGCAACTTGTTAACAGATCCTATACGATGCTTATTTCTAATTTAAAAAAGAAAAAAGATTACATTGATTTCTGAACTATTTTTCAATAAAAACGAAAAGATGAATGATAAAAATTCTAAAAACAAAAAAGACGGGATAAAATGGTGAGAAAAGCAACATAAAAATGACGTCTTTTTTTTTATGAAGGGGAGGGGGATCCGAAATAAAACATTTTTCTTTTTTTTTACTTAAAAATCAAAAAGACATTTTTCAATAGGTTAATATATCGGTAGTTTAGATAAAAAAATACTTAAATTTAATAGTTAAAAAAATTAATTTACTGATATACCAAATGTATTAAAAGAAACTTCTAAAATCAAAAGAAGATAAACTATTTTCCTTTTGTTTGTTAAAAAAAAAAAAAAAAAAAAAGGCGAATTCACTAACTCCCACACCAGGGAATCCAAGCTTAGCAACAAACAAACGCAAACTGAGGACTGACAAAAAAGCACCGGTAGATCCCTCAGATCAGATGCCAAATGGAACCTACCTCCACGTGGGTCCCATGTCAGCATGGTTCGGTGGGACCAGTCCCACACAGCAAGCGACGTGGAGTAACCAAACTCTGCACTACAAAGGAGCCTCCAAAATGGAAAAGTAAAAAATGGACTAATCAGTATATCCAATCCAAATAACCAAAAGTAAAATAATTCGTGAAATACCCAAATATCCCAGCGATGTGTATAGCGGTGTTTTTGTGGCAATCCCATCCGTTGTACCCTTTCTTTCTCTTGCTCAACAGGGACGAATACCACAGTCGGTGAGTTTTTTTTTTTCCATTTTCCCTTTTTTTTCTCTTTTTTTTTTTTCCATTTTTTGCCCCACAATTGTGTTCGAATTTGTTTCTTTAGCGGGTTTGATTTGGTTTTTTGGGCTTTTGAAGAGCGACGGAGGCTTTGGGATGGTGGGAAGGAGGGGAAATCTTGGGAGGAAGAGATGGATTGGCGGGTGGGACCTGGTTGGCTTCTGGAAGAGATGGTAGGCTGGCTTTCGTCACGAACGTTCGAGAACTTTCTGTGCTTCCATTAGCCAAGAGCAGAGGAGACCTCCCAGTTCGTTTCTTAGAGGTGATTTTTCTTTTCCTTTTAATCTCACAAATTATTTTTTGGATTTTACGCTCAATCTCACTTTAAAAACTTAGGGCTGTTTGGTTCAGTTAGTGATTCTGATTTACATTCAAATTTTTTGAGAGGGAACATTGGTGGAAATTTTTTTAATTCAAATTTGATAAAAAAACACCGCAGCAAAATTAAAATTATGGATTTAAATACGTGTAATAAACGGTCCTTAACTTTTAAGCTTCTAAAACGAATCATACTTAACACCTTCATTATCATGTAGTTTCAGTTTTAGCTTTAATGTCTGTTGAATCTTGAAAAACGACGGAATATAGATGATGTTACATTAATAAGTTGTTATTTAATCACATGCGTAAAACACAAGATGATTAATAACTTGGAATTAAGTTTGGAATCTTTTAAAAGTCAAAGATGAAAATAAGGGTGAGGATATAGTTTGAGAATCATTTTGTAAAAAAAAAAACAAACACAAAAACAAAACAAAAAAAAGCTCTTGAATTTCATTTGGCCGTTCATTATCTTTTGTCAAAACCTGAACCCTTTTTTTTTTTTTTTTGTAAGGACTGAATTGATAGTGCACTAGTCTCCTTTTACTGTAATGGTTCTTTATTAGCTGGTACAGAATCAAAAAGTCAACTTCTTTGATAACAGCTACAATACAGCACTGCCCTTTTTAAGTCCCTTTTTTAAGAGTTCTTTCCGTACGGATATTAGATAGAGAGGATTCTAATAAAAAGGTTGCAATTATGGCAGAGCAAAAAGAGCCCTCTAGAGTTTGCCGAGGAAATTGTGGAGGAGGCACATCAGTTCAATGGATTCAACCTGATTTTAGCTGATATATGTTCCAAGACCATGGTTTATGTAACCAATAGACCAGAAGAAGAACAAAAGTTTGTGACCAAAGTCTTGCCTGGAATTCATGTGTTGGCAAATGCAAATCTGGACACTCCATGGCCTAAGGTAAGAAGGTACGTTATTTTCTACATAATTATATTTCCTTGTTACATGCATCTCCCTACAAAGCTCAATTACTTGTTAGAATTTGTGTGGTAAAAGCTTTAATTGTGATTACATTACCAAACTAGTCCAATAGGGAAGGAATCATTTAGTAAACCGACCACGTCATTATGTTTGTGCGGTACATCCATTTATCAATATTTGGGTTATTTGTCTGTCTGAACTCTGTCTAATATAGGAGATTTATGTAACTATTTTGTCAATTAAAACTAAGTAAAATAAAATATATTAAGAATGAAGAAGATGATCTGTAATTTCTCCCAACTAGGTAGTTGATGTTTCACCCTGCATCAAGTTTGATTCATGTATGTTCTGTTGAGTTTTTGTAACATTTACGAATCATTTCCACATAAATCCTGCACAAATTCTCAGTCCTCCCTCATTAGTTGTTTTTTCGTAATTAAGTACCAATTGCCAGCAACTTTAGCATAACATTTGTTTGCCATCATTTTCTTTTCAGGCTAAACGACTAGGTGACGGTTTCAACGAGTTTTTAGATAAATATGGTGATGGTGAACTTCCATATAAAGAAATGGTCGAAAAGTTAATGACCAACAGAATCAGAGACGACATAAGTTTGTTGCCTCGCATTTATACCCCAGAAAAGGAACACTGCTTAAGTTCCATATTTGTCGACGCAGACACTCCATTGGTAATTACTAATTAGTCAATGCTTTAAACTTGTTTGCCAATGAATTGACAAAACGTATCAAGAAATATAATGCGACTTATGTCTTGTGCACAGGGACGTTATGGCACTAGAAGCACTTCTGCATTGTTTGCTACAACAAACGGGGAAGTCAGCTTCTATGAGAAGCATCTGGACATGGAGAATGAGCAGTGGAAAGAGCGGATCATAACTTACGAGATCAATAAAGAAGAGGAAACGGAACCGAATGATAAAACGTTAAAATAGTTCGGTTACTAGTACTACTTCCTCTGCTGCTAATGATGTCATTTCAAACTTTGTTGAATGGAAAAGTTGGTCTAAAAGATCAACTTTGTCAAGTGTATGTAACTTGCCTATATATGGTGGCACCATTTCAAAGAATTTTTGTTGTTTTGGCTATATAAATGAAAATCGCGAGTACCCACGAGGATGTTTTGTCTTGTTTCCTTTATATTAAAAAAAAAAAAAAAAAACAGAACATACTTTACATTCAAGGAAGGATATATCATATCATATATGTGTACAAAGACCAAAAACAGCTACTATAGTTGGGACTTAAACGTACAGAAAAACATATGTACATACACGCATAACTACATGTATAGTTTTGAACATGTTTATTTGTGTCATCAAGAGGCGCACGTGAGGCACGTGCAAGTAGGACCGCACTTGCGGGAGGCCTTGCCAACTTCAGGAGTGACGACGCCTAGACTACAAGTGCAGGGGTTGCAGCCACAGTGCCGTCCGCACGAGCACTTCATATGCTCATATCCACCGCTTCCACTACTTGTCGTTTCTCCTGTTGTGCACCTGTTTAGACATCACAAAAAACTACTCATCACTCCTACTTGTGGCAAATTATATTGCTATATCTGTGTGTCTATATATGTATGTATGTATGATCTAACTCCACATGACTAATCAATCAGCTTCAAGAAAACCTAGAACGAAACAAAGAAATAGCTTATATAACTCAATCCGTTGAAGACATCAGAGTATCAATGATTTAGTACTTTTTCAGCTAATCTAATGAAGTGGCTTTTTTTTTTTATGTAAATACTTTAAATTGTTGTTTGATTAAAAAGGAAATATCTCATAAAAATCAGTTAGAAATTAAAAGAGTAATTAATCTCTCTAACCTACAAGGTAAGCCACCAGGGCATGGTAAAGTACAGCCACACTTTTCGTCACAGCAGATCTTAATACCTGCAGCTCTATCAGCCATTTTCGGGCCGCTCTGCACTCTGATAAACGACTTCTATAAATATTCGGGAGAAAGAGAGAAATAGGTTAAGATTTGAGATAAATTAAAATTAATAGCCCAATAGTTTACATAAGTTAAAAAATAGGCTAAATTACTGTTTTCGTCCATAACTTGTCTGGTTATGAACCATAACTTGACAAGTTATTGTCCATAATTGTCCATAACTTGTCTAATTATGAACCATAACTTGACAAGTTTATTTATAATTTATTTGATTATGAACCATAACTTAACAAATAATAGTTTATTAATTGTTATAATTAAAAATTAGCCTATATACTTTTCATATTGACATATTTTTTACTATTTCCCTAAATATTGAGCAAAACAAAACGACTTCTATATATAGCGGCTCACGT